GCTGCTGCTGCTGCTGCTGCTGCTGCTGCTGCTGCTGCTGCTGCTGCTGCTGCTGCTGCAGGTGGATGCTGGCAGCACCACATGAGCAGGGAGAGGCCCCTGGAGTGGCGGCGAGCTGCTGCTGCGCACTGCAGCAGCAGCTTCTGCTGCTGCTGTTCTTGTTCTTGTCAGCAAGAGCAGAAGCCGCTGCTCTTGCTGTTCCTGCAGCAGCAGCAGCAGCTGCTGCTGCAGCTGCTGCTGCTTGCAGGGCATGCTCGAGCTCATTTGGTGTGGTGTCCTCCAGATAGCTGTCTCCATATATATCGTAGTTTTGCTGCAGTTGTCTCTTCAGCAGCAGCGGGGCGTGCAGCACAAAGCGCGGCAGCAGCGGCACTTGCTGCTGCTGCTGCTGGCAGCAACGCAGCCAGTCGAAATGGACGACAGGGACCTGTGGGAGTGCTGCTGCTGCTGCTGCAGTGCGGAAGGTAGGAGCAGCAGCAACAACAGCAAAGAGACTTTTGCGTGGAGACTGCAGCACTGATGCCCCTAAAGATAAAGCAATGCGCTCAACTGTCTCCTTCGGGTTTTCTCTGTCTCCTTCTATCACCCACAACTCTACGCCCCGCAGCGGCAAAGCAGACACCTCAGCAGCAGCAGCAGCAGCTGCTGCTGCTGCTGTTGTTGCTGTTGCTGCTGCTGCCGCAGAGGCGTTTGCTGCTGCCGACGCTGGCAGCAAATGCGCTACCAGCCGGTGAGGAGACCCCCGCAACCACCCTGGGCCCTGTCCTCTTGCTGCTGCTGCTGCTGCTGCTGCTGCTGCTGCGGGGGAGAGTAGAGCAGCAGCACTTCGGCGCTTCCGCTTGGAAAAGGGCTGAAGAGACATTGAATCGATAAGGCTGCTGCTGCTGATGTTGCTGTTGCTGTTGCTGCTGCTGTGTGAACTTAAAATAGTAGACACCCCAGCAGCTAAGCCTGTTGCAGCGGAAGTTGCAGCTGCCGGCGATCCTTCAGGCGATGCAGTGGCTTCCTGCTGCTGCTGTTGCTGCTGCAGCTGCTGCTGCTGCTGTTGCTGGCCAGACCAAACCTGCTGGTGGTCGTCCTGCTGCTGTACTCCCTCCTGAAGCTGCTGCTGCTGCTGCTGCTGCACCAGGTGCTGCTGCTGCAAGGCTTTTGAAACTGCTGCAAGAAGGGGATCGGGTGTCTCTGCTGCTGTGTCTCCTTTTGTCTCTTCTGCTCCCCCTAAGCGCGAAGGAGCAAGCAACTCTTCATCTGTTAACTTTTGTGTTTGCTGCCGCTGCTGCTGCTGCTGTTGCTGCTGTTCGTCCTGCTGTTGCTGTCGCTGCAGTTGCGGCTCTTGCTGCTCTGGCTGCTGCTGCTGCAGCTGTTGCTGCTGTTGTTGCTGCTGCTGCTGCTCAGCAGGGTCTTCTGATGCATCTCTAGGCGAAGACGGGCGACTTGGAGACTGCGCAATTTCTGCTGCTGCAATCGAATGGCTCTGGGTGAAGAGTTCCTGCAGCAAAACAAACACAGCCATGCTGCTGCTACTGCTGCTGCTGCTTCTGTTGCTGCTGCTGCTGGGTCTTTTGTTGTTGTTGCTGCTGATGCAGTCTCTGTTGTTGATTTGTATAATGCAGCCTTATTCCTGAAGCTGCTCCTGCTGCAGACAACGGGCACCTATGAGCGGGTGTAGCAGCAGCAGCACAACTGCAACAGCAGCAGCAGCAGCGGGAGGTAGCGCACGCACTTGCAGCTGCAGCAGCGAAGTAGCATCTTGAATGGTTTTGTCTCTTCGGGGGGCTTGCAAGACCCTCGGGAAGCGCAGAGTAAAGGAGACGCAAAATTCTTTTGAAGAGACAAACTCAGCAGCAGAGACAGACACCACCCAACTCGCTTCAGGCGGCCAGCTAACGTCAACCCTGAGTGCACGTACACCCCAAATAGCAGCAAATGCAGCAGCAAATGCAGCAGCAAATGCACCAGCAAATGCAGCAGCGCAACAGCGAAACATTAATAACACGTGCTGAAGCGGAAACAACAGCAACAATACAAGATCTAGCTGCAGCAGTAGATGGAACGGCAACTGCAGCAGCAGCAGCAACTGCAGAAGCAGCAGCAGGGTAAACGACATTAACAGTCTTTCGCAAGCAGAGAGCCAAGCGTGTGTGCACACACGCCGCAGCAGCAGCAGCAGCAGCAAAAGAAACAAAAGCAGCAGCTGCAACAGCTACAGAAGCAGCAGCAGCAGCACGAGCACCAACGCCAGCAGCAGGAATACCTACAACAGCATCAGCAGGAAGACCAGCAACCAACAGAAGCAGCAAACGCACCGCCAGGGACAGCCACAGCAGCAGCAGCAAAAGCAGCAGCAGCAACAACAGCAGCAGCGAAAGCAGCAGCAGCAAAAGCAGCAGCAGCAAAAGCAGCAGCAGCAACAACAGCAGCAGCAACAACAGCAGCAGCAACAACAGCAGCAGCAACAGCAGCAGCAGCAACAGCACGAAACGTACCTGGTGGAGCTGCTGCAGTCTTCAGGCAGCCACGGCGCAACCGAAGCTGCAGAGACACCCGGAGGTATGCGAATTGCTCTCGGACCCAACTGCTGCCTCAGCTCCAGCAACTGCAAATCAGATAAGCCACCAACCTGCAGCAGCAGCAGCAGCAGCAGCAGCAGTAGCAGTAGCAGCCTCAAATTCATCTTGAAAGGAGACATCCACATGCATATGAACAAGAGACAACAGCTCTCTAAAGGACGCAGCAGCAAACAGAAGTGCAGCAACAACAGCAGCAGCACCACCACCCACAGCAGCAGCAGCAACAACAACAGCAGCAGCAACAACAACAGCAGCAGTGCCACCCGCAACTTCATGAACAGCAACAGCAGCAGCAGCAGCAACAGCAGCAGCAGCAGCAACAGCAGCAGCAGCAGCAGCAGACACTTGCCCGGCAGACAGAAAGGACCTTCGATTTGTCTTCAGGGTTTAAAACCCCCAGCAGCAAATGCGTGCAGTGATTCAGAGGGTTAGAGGAGTCCTGAGGTGTACGTACAGCTCAGCAACTGTCTCCAACATTTCAGGTGTATCCGCAGCTGGGTGTCTCCTCGCCTCTCTTGACTTGCTGTTGCTGTTTGCTGTTTGCTGCTGTGTGTGCCGTACTAAGCCCAAACCCTAAACCCTAAACCCTAAACCCTAAAACATCCATTTGGAGTCCTAAACCCTAAACCCTAAATCAGCATCTGTTTGAGGCTCTCTACAGCGCTTGTGCGTGTGTGCTTCTCTGTGTCTGTGTCTGCTGTTTATTTGCTGCTGCTGCTGCTGCTATTGCTGCTGCTGCTGCTGCTGCTGCTGCTTGCTTACTGCCTGTCTCCTTGCTGCAGTAGAGCTGAAGAAGGCACCGATAGCAAGAAGATCCAAAGTGTCTCCAATGCGCCCCAACCGGGGCTTCAGCTTAAACCAGCCATCCTTGCTGCAGCAGCAGCAGCAGCAGCAGCAGAAGTGCAGCAGCAGCAGCAGAGCAGAAGCCGAAGCACAGAAGAGTGAAACAGCAGCAACAGATAGAACAGAAACAACACCAGGAGAAAAAACGCAGCAACAGCAGCAGCAAGAACAGCAGCAGGAGGGAAACAGGGCCAGCACAGAAGCAGCAACAGCAGCAGCAACAGCAGCAGCAGCAACAGCAGCAGCAGCAACAGCAGCAGACTCAAGACGAAAGGAAACAGAGGCAAACAAAAAAGCAGAGACAGGCAAACAAATAGAGACAGCAGAAAGAAGCAAAAACAAAAGAAACAACGACAGAGAGAGACAAATAAACAAACAAACCGACAAACAAATAAACAAAAAGAAAGAAACAACGACAAAGACAGACAAATAAACAAGCAAATAAATAAGCAAATAAACAAATAAATAAATAAACAAATAAATAAATAAACAAAAGGAGACAGCCCACCGAGAGTCAAGAGCATAAAGAGACAGCGGGTCCTTCAGCATAACCCCTTCACCTCCTTTTGCTGTCTCCTCTTCTAAGCGAGAGATTATCTAAGAAAGACAAACATAATATACATATAATATATAATTATTATTATTATTTAGTATATATAAACAAAATAATATATAAATAATTGTCATTATATAATAATCATTAGATTGTAGAAACACAAAAATAATTATTATATAATTCTAATTAACTAATAATAACAACTAAATAATAATAACTATATAATAATAAAATAATATAAAGAAAGACAGAAACAAACAAACAAACAGACAAACAAACAGAGACACAACAGAGACAGAAACAAACAAACAGAGGGAGACAGAAAGCAAGCAGTATAAGACAACATAAATAATATCTTTTTCTAATAATGCAGTGTATAAAACATTATTAAATATATTATATATGTGAAATATATATTATATATTAAATATATTATATATATTAAATATATTATATATTAAATATATTATATAATATATATTATATACTATATATTATATATCATATATATTATACATTATATATTATATATTATATATTATGTATTATATATTATATATTATATATTATGTATTATATATTATATATGTTATACATAGTGTATATAATATATTCTATATACTAAATATTATATTAAATAAATAAACAAATAACACCAAATGAAGCAGCATCGCAGCAGCAAGCGCAGCAACAGCAACAGCATCACCAGCTTGAGCAGCAACAGCACAAGCAGCAGCAGCAACAGCAGCAGCAGCAGCAGCAGCAGCAGCACCTGCTGAGGATTGCGTGCAATTTGGTATGAACATATTTGCAGTCGCGGTGGTTGTGGGGTAAGAACCTTCTCGAGTAAACACCTGCGGAGACACCCGAGGAGACACACAAAAAAAGCTGTCTTTGTTTATTTTTTTGTTTGTATCTCCTTTTGTCTCCTTTTGTCTCTCTTCTGTTTCTCTCTGTCTCTTTCTGTTTCCTTCTGTCTCTTTTTTTGTCTCCTTTTGTCTCTTTTTGTCTCCTTTTGTCTTCTTATTAACTCACCTCCGGTCTTTAAGACGCATCCTTAGCAGGGGGTGTACGTACACCTCAGAGTTGTTAGTGCTGCTATAAGACAAAATATCAAACACTACGTACACCAGAAACTGCTGCGGTGTCTCTGCAGCAGCTACACTCCTGCAGCAGCAGCAGCAGCAACAGCAGCACCAAAGGCAGCAGCAACAGCAGCATAGACAAATCCTAGAGAGACAAAGTAAAAAGAGATAAAAGAGAAGCGACAATTAACAGCAGGAGCAACAGCAGCAGCAAAATAGTAAACTATAAAACAATGAGAAGAGCAGAAAGGAGACAAACGGAGACAAGAGGAGACAAAAGGAGACAGAGACAGAGACAGTAGAGAACAAGAAAGAAAGAAGACAAAGACAGTAGACAGAGACACGCAGCAGTAAATGAAAAAGAAGAGAGAAAGAAGACAAAGAGAGACAAGACAAATAAAAACAGAAAAGGAGACAGTTAGGGGGGAAAGAAAAGGAGACAGAGACAGCAAACAGAGACAGAAGAGCAAACAGAGACAAGAGACAAAAGAGGAGAGAAAGCAACAGACAAAAGAAGAGACAGAAAAAGAGACAGAGACAAATAACTGCAAAGGAGACAGCAGCCACCAGAGGAGACAGAAAAGAGACAGAGAAAGAGAGTTAAGGAGAGAAGAGTAAACAGCAGAAAGGAGACAAAAAAGAAAAAGGCAAAAGAAGAGACAGATAAAGAGAAGAAAGAAGAAGAAACAGAAAAGGAGACAGAAAAGGAGACACAGGAAGAGACAGCAGAAGAGGCAGAAGAAGAGACAGAAGAAGAGACAGGAGAAGAGGCAGAAGAAGAGACAGCAGAAGAGGCAGAAGAAGAGACAGAAGAAGAGACAGGAGAAGAGGCAGAAGAAGAGACAGAAGAAGAGACAGAAGAAGAGACAGAAGAAGAGACAGAAGAAGAGACAGTTGCATGCGCTGACTTAATGCTGCTAAAAGGCATTGGCCTGTTGCTGCTGCAGTCAAATGCAAATATCTCCCCATCTAAAACGCAGCTGTATCCCTTAAAGCTGCGCAGCAGCAAACTGCACAAATCCTCAGGTACTTCCTGCTGCTGCTGCTGCTGCTGCTGCTGCTGCTGCTGCTGCTGCTGCGCTGAGGTGTACCCATATCGGCGTGTATAGTCAGTGCCTCTGCGTGAGAGCAGCAGAATTTTCGCGTTTTGTTTGGAGGGGCAGCAAATATGTGCTAGGAGTCTCTCCCCGTCATATTTTGTCTCTACAAACAAATGTCTAAAAGGAGACAAAAAGAAAGAAGACAAAGAAAAAGAAGAAAGCAAATAATAAACGAGATGCATGCAAATGAAGCACAGCACAGATATTATACACGCAAAGAAAACAAAACAATAAAAAAATTAATGCAGTATAAAATAAAGAAGAAAGGGAGGAGACAGATAAAAAGAGACAGACAAAAGGAGACAGATAAAAAGAGACAAATAAAAGGAGACAGATAAAAAGAGACAGATAAAAGAAGACAGGGACAGCATCAGAAGAGAGAAAATATTTTCAAAGCCAAAAGGAGAAGAGCAGAGACAGAGAAGAAAGGAGAGAGAGAGAGAGAGAGAGAGGCAGAGAGAGAGACAGAGACACAGAGAGACAGAGAGACAAAGAGACAGAGAGACAGAGAGAGAGACAGAGAGACAGAGAGAGAGACAGAGAGAGAGACAGAGAGAGAGAGACAGAGAGAGAGACAGAGAGAGAGACAGAGAGAGAGACAGTGAGAGAGACAGAGAGAGAGACAGAGAGAGAGACAGAGAAACAGAGGCAAGCAAAACAAGCACAACTGAGACAGAAAAGAAATATAACACAGAGACACAAAAGGAGACAGAGACAGAAAGGAGACAATAAAGAGACAGAAAGGAGACAATAAACAAATAGTTTTTCTTTACTTATTCTCCTCCCCCGTGAAGAATGTCTGCAGCTCTGACTGCACAGCAACTGCTGCAAGCATCGGCCGCAGCGGCTTAAACAGCAGCGCGTCTTCCTTGCTGCTGCTGCTGCTGCTGCTGCTGCTGCTGCTGCTGGCATCTTGTGAGAGCCGCAGCACCGCAGTTGTCTCTCTTTTCTTTTTTGCTGTTATTTCATCCAGCACCGCCTGCACAAAGAAATACAAAGTACAAAGAAAAACAAACTCGAACGCAGTTTGTCTCCTTTTATCTCCTACTGTCTCCTTTTGTCTGTTTTTCTGTCTCCTTTTTTCTGCTAATTTCTCTTTTTATTTTCTCATTTTGTCTCCTTTTGCTTCGTAAACTGTCTCCTTTTGCTTCTTATACTGTCTCCTTTTGTCTCTTATTCTGTCTCCTTTTGTCTGCTATTTTCTCTTTTTATTTTGTCTCCTTTTGTCTCCTTTTGTCGCTTTGATCGGCTGCTGGCCTCCCCCTCTACACCACCGCTGCTATTAAGGTTTGCTCCTGCTGCTGCTGCTGCTGCTGCTGCTGCTGCTGCTGCTGCTGCTGCTGCTGCTG